TTAAGTTTCCTCCATGTCTCTTCATGGCTTGATATCTCATTTCTTTTTAGTGCTGAATAAGATTCCATTGTCTGGATATACCACAGTTTATGTATCCGTTCACCTACTGAAGGACATCTTGGTTACGTCTAAGTTTTGGCAATAATAAATAAAGCTGCTATAAACAGCTGTGCGTATGTTTTTGTGTGGAAAAAAGTTTTCAGTGACTTTGGGTAAATACCAAGGAGCACAACGCTGGATCATATAGTAAGAGTATGTTTAATTTTGTGAGAAACTGCCAAACTGTCTTCCAAAACAGCTGTGCCATTTGGCATTCCCACCAGAGATGAATGAGAGTCCCTGTTGCTCCACATCCACATTAGCATTTGGTGTTCTCGATGTTTTGGATTTGGGCCATTCTAAAAGGCTTGTAATGGTATCTCCTTGTAGTTTTAACTTGCATTTCTCTAATGACATAAAATGTGGAATATCTTTTCATACACTTTTTTGCCATCTATATATTTTCTTGGTGAGGGATATGTGCAGATCTTTTGCCCATTTTTTAAACAGGTTGTTTATTTTCTTATTGTTGACTTTAAGAGTTCTTGGTATATTTGGGATAAGAATCCTTTATCAGATATGCCTTTCACAAATATTTTCTCCCAGTCTGTGGCTTGTCTTTCTGTTCTCTTGACAGTATCTTTGGCAGAGCAGGACTTTTCAATTTTTTAAAGATTTATTTATTTATTTGAGAGAGAGAGAGCATGCAGGAGGGGGCAGACAGAGAGAGAGAGAGAGAGAGAATCTCCAGCAAACTCCCCACTGAGGGAGGAGACTGACTCGGGGTTTGATCCCAGGACCCTGAGATCATGATCTGAGCCAAAATCAAGAGTTGGACGCTTAACTGATGGAACCACCCAAGTGCCTCTGGGTGTTTTCAATTTTAATGAAGTCCAGCTTATCATTGATTTTGCTCATGGATTGTGACTTTGATGTTGTATCTAAAAAGTCATTGCCAAACCTAAGTTCATTTAGATTTTCTTCTAGTTTTATAGTTATACATGTTACCCTTACAGTTGTTTTGAGCAGGTTTGTTTGTTTTTGTGTGTGTTTGTATGGGAAAGGTATAAAGTTTATATCTAAATTGAGATTTTTTTCATCATGAATTGGTGTTGAATTTTGTCAACTGCTTTTTCTGTATCTATTGATGTGATCATGTGATTTTTCTTCTTTAGCCTGTTAATGTGACGGATTACATTAGTTGATTTTTAAATGTTGGCCATTGCATATAATTCTTTTTTTTTTTTTTTTTTTTTAGAGAAAGAACACGAGAAGGGGTGGGGGAGTAGGGGCAGAGAGAGAGAGAGAATCTTAAGCAGGCTCCATGCTCAGTATGAAGCCCAACTCAGGGCTCAATCCCAGGATCATGATCTGAGCTAATACCTCTTGGATTCAATTTGTTAATATTTTGTTGGGGGTTTTTACATCTATGTTCATAAGAGCTATTGGTTAATAATTTTCTTATAATATCTTTGTCTGGTTTTGGTATTAAGACGTGGTGGCCTCATTGAATAAGTTAAGAAATATTCCCTTTTGCTTCTATATTCTGGAAAAGTTTGTAGAGAATTGGTAAGATTTCTTCCTTAAATGTGTGCTGGATTCACCATTAAACCCATTTTGACCTAGTGGTTCCTGTTTGGGAATATTATTAATTACTTTAATTTCTTTAATAATATAGGCCTATTCAGATTACCTATTTCTTCTTGTGTGAGTTTTGGCAGATTGTGTCTTTCAAGGAAATGGTCCATTTCATTTGGGTTATTAAATTTGTGGGCATAGAATTCATAGTATTTCTTGGGCGCCTGGGTGGCTCAGTTGGTTGAGCGACTGCCTTCGGCTCAGGTCATGATCCTGGAGTCCCTGGATCGAGTCCCGCATTGGGCTCCCTGCTCAGCGGGGAGCCTGCTTCTCCCTCTGACCCTCCCCCCTCTCATGTGTGCTCTCTCTCTCTCATTCTCTCTGTCTCAAATAAATAAATAAAATCTTTAAAAAAAAAAAAAATTCATAGTATTTCTTTATTATCCTCTCAATTCCCCTGATATTTTTTTTTCTTAGTTAGCCTGGCTAGAAGTTTATCAATTTTATTGATCTTTTTAAAGAACCAGCTTTTGGGGGCACCTGGGTGGCTCAGTCGGTTAAGTGTCTGCCTTCAGCTCAGGTCATGATCCCAGGGTCCTGCCCCTCCCCCTGCTTGTGCTCTCTCACATGCTCTCTCTCTCTTCTCTCTCTCTGTGTCAAATAAATAAATAAAATCCTGAAAAAAAAAAAACAGCTTTTGGTTTCATTGATTTTCTCTATTGAGTTCTTATTTTCAGTTTCATTGATTTCTGCTCTGATTTTTATTATTTCTCTCCTTCTGCTTACTTTGGATTAATTTGCTCTTTTTTACCTAGTCCTAAAGTGGAAGCTTAGATTTTAGATCTTTTTTTTCTAACATGTGCATATAAATTGCCCTATAAGCACTGTTTCTGCTGCTTCCCTGAAATTTTGATGTCATATTTTCATTTTTATTTAGTTCAAATTATTTAAAGATTTCTCTTGAGATTTTTTTCTATGATCTATTATTTAAAAGTATGTTGTTTCATCTCTACTTATTCTGGGATTTTCCAGCTCTCTTTTTCTTTTTTTTTAAAGATTTTTTATTCACTTGACAGAGAGAGATACAGCGAGAGAGGGAACACAAGCAGCGGGAGTGGGAGAGGGAGAAGCAGGCTTCCTGCCGAGCAGGGAGCCCGATGTGGGGCTCGATCCCAGGACCCCAGGACCATGACCTGAGCCGAAGGCAGACGCTTAACGACTGAGCCACCCAGGCGCCCCCCAGCTCTCTTTTTCTTATTGATTTCCAATTTATTCTATCGTAGTCTGAGGGCATTCATTGTATGATTTCTATTATTTCAAATTTGTTAAGGTGTAATTTATGGTCCAGGATGTGGTCTATCTTGGTGAATGTTCCATGAGAGCTTGAGATTAATATGTGTTGGATGCAGCAGTCTATAGATATCAATTATATCTAGTTGACGGATGGTGTTTTTGAGTTCAACTATGTCCTTACTGATTTTCTGCCTGCTGGATCTGTCCATTTCTCATGTCAATTTCTCATAGAAGGGTGCTGAAGTTTCCAACTATAAAAGTACATTATCTATTTCTCCTTGCAGTTTTGTCGGTTTTCACTCCACATATCTTGACACTGTGATGTTAGGCATGTACATGTTAAGGAGTGTGGTCTTTTTGGAGAATTGACCCCTTTATCATTATGTAATGCCCCTAATTATCCCTGTTAACTTTCTCCTACTCTGAAGTCTTCTCTGTTTGAAACATAGCTGCTCTTGCTTTCTTTTGATTAGCATTAACATGGTAAATCTTTCTCTATCCCTTTACTTTTAATCTATATGTGTCCTTACATATAAAGTGGATTTCCTGTAAGCAACATAGAAATTGGGTATTGTTTTTTAATCCATTCTGACAACCTCAGTCTAAGTGGTTTACTAGACTGTTGACATCTAAAGTGATTATTGGTATAGTTGAATTAATATCAATCATATTTCTTACTATTTTATATTTGTTACCCTTGTTTTTTGTTCTTAGTTTTGTCTTTCACTCTCTTTCTGCCTTTTGTGGTTTTAAGTGAACATTTTATATCATTCCACTTTCTCTTAGCTTATCAATTATATATCTTTTTAAATTTTTTGAGTGGTTTCCCTAGTTTGAAATATACATTTACAACTAATTCATGTCCACTTTCAAACAACATTACACCACCTCACTGGTAGTATAATACCTTAGAATAACAAAGTATTCCTAATTTCTCCCTCCCATCCCTTGTGTCATAGCTGTTATTCATTTCAAGTATCTATAAGTTACAATCGTCAGATATATTGTTGATGTTACTGCTTTAAATAAACTGCTGTTAGTTTTTACTTTATCTTCACTTATTCCTTCTATTATGCTCTTCTTTATATAAATCTGAATTTCTTACCTATATCATATTCCTTCTCTTTTAAGAACTTCTTTTAGGGAATGCCTAAGTGGCTCAGTTGGTTAAGTGTCTGCCTTCGGCTTGGGTCATGATCCCAGAGTCCTGGGATCAAGTCCCATATTGGGATCCTTGTTCAGCAGGGAGCCTGCTTCTCCCTATGTCTGCTGTTCCCCCTGCTTGTGCTTGCTCTCTCTCTTTCAGACAAATAAATAAATAAAATCTTTAAAAAAAGAAGTTCTTTTAATATTTCTTTTTTTAAAAGATTTTATTTATTTATTTGAGAGAGAAAGAGCATGAGCAGGGGAGGGGGAAGGGGCAGAAGGAGAGGGAGAAGCAGGCTCCCTGTTGAGCAGGAATCCCAATATGGGACTTGATCCCAGGACTCTGGGATCATGACCCCAGCTGAAGGCAGACACTTAACTGACTGAGCCACTCAGGCTTCCCAAGAACTTCTTTTAATATTTCTTGCAAGGCTGCTTGTTTCTGTTTGTCTGGGAAAGTCTGTATCTCTCCTTCATTTTTAAAGGACAACTTCACAAGGTACAGAATTGTAGGTTGATGGTTGTCCTCTCAACACTTAAATATTTCATTCCACTGTCTGAATATGCCTAGATGTAGTCCTTGATGCTTTTTTAAATCTAGTTTTGTAACTATCATTTGGATTGTAGAATGGTTATCTCTGTGACAGTTTGGACTCCGTTTCGTAGTGGCGTATTCATTTCTATTTCATCTACTCTGACATCTAGAAGGACTTTGAGTATCCATGGTAACAATAATTCATAATGAGGTTGCCATGTATGCTCAACAAAACAGAATTCCTACATATAAAAATGGATATAAACTTTTTTCTTTCATTTCTGGGTTTTCAGTTCTATTTTATTTACCGTTATAAACGCCTAAGTCAAATTAATTTGGTGGTCTGGGTAGTATCTGCTTAGATATCATGATATCTAACTAAAGATTCCAATGTTTATGTCTTATACAGAAGGACATGTTATCCTTTGCAGTATTAGTTCCTTCCTGGATCCACCTCACGAAGAAAAGGTAAGAACTTTAGTTTTAGTTTAATTCATGAACCAGCACATACTAATTGACCATTTCTCTGTGCTAGATACCACAAAAGATAGAACAAGACAAGAATCCCTACTCTTGAGTCATATATAATACTATTGAATCTTAAGAGTACTCTTATCTTGATGGGCACTGAGAAATGTATGGAATTGTTGAATCATTAAATTGTATGCCTGACACTAATGTAACATTGTATGTTAATTATACGTGAAATACGAAAAGAAACAAGAAACAAGCTACATGCCAAATAACCATGGTTTACTGGTGAGAAGAGAGGATGAGTGAGTGAGCCAGCCCTTGGCCGCTTTATATCATCTTCATGTTTTCACTTATTTGAGAGAATCTATACAGAAACCCAGAACTTAGGGCACCTGGGTGGCTCAGTTGGTTCAGTACCTGCCTTTGGCTCAGGTCATGATCCCAGGGTCCTGGGATCGAGTCTCACATCAGGCTCCTTGTTCAGCAGGGATCCTGCTTCTCCCTCTGCCTGTCACTTCCCCTGCTTGCGCTCTCTCTCTCTCAAATAAATTTAAAAAAAAATCTTTAAAAAAAAAAAAGAAAAAAAAGAAACCCAGAGCTTAAGAGTTCACACATCATCTAGTCCTCCATAGTCAGCTTATGTATCTTCACAGAAGGAGAGTCTATAACTTTTCCTTAAAAGTCTAATCTAGTGTCCAACCATCATAAATACGTCACAGGGATGAAAAGTACAGCATAGAGAATATAGTCAACAACACTGTAATAACTTTGTATGGTGACAGATGGTAGCTATGCTTATCATGGTGAACACTGTGTAATGTACAGAATTGTCAAATCAGTATGTTGTACACTTGTAACTAACATAACATTGTATGTCAACTCTACTTCAATTAAAAAGAAACTCTTCCTCACATCTAGTCTAAATCCTCCTTGTAAATCAAACATATTTTATGCTCTTTTTAGTGTTAATGCAATGTAAATGTCACCAATCTTATTCATAACCATTTAAATATGTATGTTTTGTGTGAATGTGGATATACAAATACAGCTACATATATTATAAAGATTCAACACTCATTAAAGGTTGCAGCAAGGAAGCACTATTTTACCCCAGGCTTATTTCCCTTTAAGTTCATATTTCAAATCCAAAAAGCAAGCAAATAGCAATTTTTTTTGCTTTTGGATCATAAGTAGTAACATATGGTTACATAGATTAGGATTGGATTTCTTGCAGAGTGTCACAGAACGGTTACTGTTTCAAACGTTATTTCATTTGATCCATAGAATTTTCTTTTTGTTTTCAAGAGCCAATTAGAGTTTTATGACGTTCAGATGTTTAGCTTTAGTATGATTATCTCCACTTTGCCAAAGGGAAATCAGAGACTGGCTTGCCTAGCAGCACGTAGACAGGTAGTGACTAAGCTGGGGCTAGAACCAGGCTTCTTGTCCTCAAATCCAGCACTCTTTCCATACAACCCTAACTACTGTCAAATAGAAAAAAACATTTAAACTTACAAAGCACAAAGTTTCACTTATCAACAGCTATAAATGGCCTACAATCAAGGCATGTTGTGAGAGGAACAAAAACAACATTCTTGAACCATGTATAGGTGGAAAGTTATCTGTTTTCTCTGAATTGTGATGATTATCATATTCCATTATTAATTTTAAGACATAAAAATATCACCCAAAGCCTACAGATTTTTTTTAATATTTTATTTATTCATTTGACAGAGAGAGAGAGAGCACAAGCAGGGAGAGCGGCAGGCAGAGGGAAGGGCATGATCCCAGGGTCCTGGGATCATGACCTGAGCTGAAGGCAGACACTTAACCGACTGAGCCACCCAGGCGCCCCCAAAGCCTACAGTTTTGTAAATGGACTTTCCATAAACTGGCAAATGAGTCCTCTACATTTAGAGAAAATATTAAAAACAAAGTTATAAAATAATATTGAATTAGACTTAAAGCATTTTTACCAATTTAAAAACAAAGACTTTGGGGCACCTGGGTAGCTCAGTTGTTAAGCGTCTGCCTTCGGCTCAGGTCATGATGCCAGGATCCTGGGATCGAGCCCCGCATCAGGCTCCTTGCTCTGCGGGAAGCCTGCTTCTCCCTCTCCCACACCCCCTGCTTGTGTTCCCTCTCTCGCTGTGTCTCTCTCTGTCAAAAAATAAATAAAATTTTTAAAAATAAATAAATAAATAAATAAATACAAAGACTTTAATCACTTATTTGAAATTATTCTATATTCAATCTCATTTCAACCTTTTCTGTGTTTGGAAAATGTATTTTTTCCACAAAATGTACACTGTGTACACTTTCCACAATGTACTTGTACACTTTGTACTTCGTACATGGCTGCTTATTGACAAATATACAACAGAATCTGGTTATAAGATGCCTCACTATTACACAGATGAATATAATATCATGAATTAAACCAGGTTCAGTAATAGATTACAACTATAGCAAAAACCTCATAGGTCAGTCTGTACATCAGAAATTAATCTGGTTCTCTTGCAACGTTACTATTAAAGAGATTTTCCATGTAATAATAGATATTCTAAGAGATAGGATAGTCAAAACCTGTCCACAGAAAGAGAAATCATACATATGATAATATACACATGTCTACAGGAAAAAAAAAAGTCTTAGAGCAATGTTTTTCTAAATATAGGTTGTAACCCACTTGTGGGTTATAAAATCAATTTAATGGGTGGTGACCATATTTTCATTAAAAAAAGGGAATGGAGTGGAATGAGATGCAATAGAATAAACTAGACATTACCAGTGTACGTCACACCAGGTAAGGTTAAATGTCTTTGTGTGAAGGATACTGAAACTTTTTCAGGATGCCTGTGCAGGTATTTTATCTGTTTACTGGATCATGAAGTAAAATGTATTTCTTACTATAGATACAGCACATAGCAGAAAAACACTTGCCTTAGAGAATCCCATCCCAAGGCAGAGAAAGAACCCTTGGATGACAAGATACACTTGACTAGCTATGAGACAATAAGAAGTAGGAGAATGCAGATTTCACCCTGATTTTCTAAGAACAACTCAAGGGAACTGAGTCAGAAGGCCAAGAAATTTAGGAGGAATTGCGTCTGCCTTCGTTAGAGTATAAATGACTAGGAGACTTGTAGGATCACTCCCAAGCTGCCAGAATTCTAGCCACACAAATACTCTAGGTAGATGACCCAAGAAGAAGTAGTCCTGATCTGGGTTCATCAGAGATAGAGAGGGAACATGCTCTAAGGGGATGTTGCTACAGAGCCAGCTCCCCAGTTTGTCAACTCTAATTCATGCAACTCAGGCCTGTTTAATGGTTCTACACTTGAGGATAAGGCACACCTTGAAGGAACATATCTATCAAGCCTCCTGATGTCTTTGAAAGAAAATGAGTTAGGCCCATTCCTTTTGTCTATTCCTCATGGTATATAGGTATCATATATAACCCCACTGCCATCACCGCCACCCCCCAAAAAAAAAAAAAAGAACAAAATAGCCAGGGCTATTTCTGGATAAAATTTGAAAACTGGAAAGTTTTGCCAGCCTACCCTTTGGTCCTCACCTTTCATCTCCACTTCCTCTTGTTCCTGATTCCACTCTGTCTTGGCCTCTCCTACAGCCCTTCTCCTAAAGCTTTTCCTTCATCTACTCATCTTGGAATCCTCAACTAAATTAATTGTTAATCCTCACTTGAATGAGAAATTGCAAAAGACATAAGATCTCTCCTCTCCCAGGGATATGTGCAGATTAGCAAACACATAAACATGGAGTCTGGGTACCTGAGCAAAGAAGAAGAGCTCACAGGCAGAGAGACTGCATCTTGCACAGATGTCCACGTCATTCACTCATAAGCTTGGCTCGTTAATGGTTAATGGTTTTCCTCAAGATCGGATTTTGATCAGCATATACTTATTCCATGGGATGTGCTTTATTGTTGCTCTCTAGAAATTGAAGCAGCTGCTTGCCTGGCGAGCTCATTCTTTAGAAATTATTCAAGTGATCTACGTAGAAGACAAGCAAATGGTTCTTACTGCCTCCATCGATGGATCAGTAAGGTATGGACCTTCATATGGTGAATTTAGGGTTTTGAGCATGAGAAGTAAAAATTCTAAGCTAAAGTTTAAGTATATACCCTAAATACACTCTTGATTGGATAATTAAAATAAATAAATACATAAACAAACAAAAGGTAGCACACACAAAGGGCTTTGAAAAGGTGGCCACTGGTTTGGAATTCTTTTCCATGCCCAAGGAGATGAGATGCTCTGCTCATCTACATTAGAAGTATAACAAATACTCTAATAAAAGCGTTTTTTGGTGGACTCATTTTGAAGAATTAAGCAAGATGATTATCTCAGAGAAATAGACACATGCCCAGGGAAGGCCCTGGGAGACAAAGGATCAAAAGTCACAAACAGAGTAATAGCAAAGTGTAACTTAACTGCTGAGAAAAGTGAAAGTGAGTTAATGTTTTGGCTTTTTTTTTAAGATTTTATTTATTTATTTGACAGAGAGAGACACAGCAAGAGAGGGAACACAAGCAGGGGGAGAGGGAGAGGGAGAAGCAGGCTTCCTGCTGAGCAGGGAGCCCGATGCGGCACTCGATCCCAGGACCCTGGGATCATGGCCTGAGCCGAAGGCAGACGCTTAACGACTGAGCCACCCAGGTGCCCCGAAAGTGAGTTAATGTTTTCATGGGCAATGTGATTGATTTTGCAAAGTCTATTTGTTATCAATTGCCTGAATAATGCTAAGGATACATACAGAAAATGCTGAACACACACACACACACATGCGTATACAAAGAGAAAGGAAATGTCATGACATTCCTTGAGACAAATTGCTGCATATTAAAATGTCTCAAAATCATGGTAATGAATTATCCTCTGGGGAGAATAAAGTCAGGAATGATTGAGAGATGTGGAGAGACTTCAAAGTGTATTGGAAAGCTTAAACATAGTGACGGCAAAAAGGAAGGAATATTTTACATTGTATAAAAGACCCTGTGTGAACCTGAGATTGATTTGGATCTTCACAAAACAGCCCCCAAAGGATTTTAAGTGAAGGACTAACATCATCTGATTTACATTTTTAAAAAACAACACATAGGGAATGGATTTCAGAGTAGCAAGGTGGGAGCAAAGAGAACAGTTTGAAGTCTATGCTGAATACAGTGGCCTGGACTAGGGCAGTGCTGGAAGGAAAGAGTGTGGGTCTGGGAACTATCTAGGAGGTAAAATTCGGGAGACAGAAACTTTAACTGAAAGGGGAGGTAAGTAATAGATGTCAAGAATACCTCCTGGCCTATACAGCTCAGTGAATGTCGGTACCATTCAGGAAGAGAGAAGGCACTATAAGAGGAGGATATTTTGAATGTGGAAGGGTGGAGGTCAACTTTTAGAAATGTTGAGTTCGAGGGAGTCTGTGGGGGTAAGGTCCTAACTGGGGTTCTTCTCTGCCAAAAAAGGAATCTGTTGTTTTATTCATAGGAAAAATTAAGGACATGACGTTTCATTATTATAGATGTTTTCCATGACTCTGTCCCTTGGGTGTCTGTTCCAGCTTATTTTCAGCTACCTGTCAGCAGAAGTGCTAACTGGGGATGGTAGCGCACGCACACACACACGCCCCACAAGTCACATGTGTGCACACTACCAGTTACCCTTGGCACAGAGAACTTACTTTCAAGATTCCTTCAAGTGAAGCTCTCCCCAGATATGCAGCTCAGAAAAAGTAGCTCTATGAATAGCTATCTCAGAGACAGTTCTCTTTATTTTTCTTAAAGATTTTATTTATTTGACAGAGACACAGCGAGAGCAGGAACACAAGCAGGGGGAGTGGGAGAGGGAGAAGCAGGCTTCCCGTGGAGCAGAAAGCCCAATGTGGGGCTCAATCCCAGGACCCTGGGATCATGACCTGAGCCGAAGGCAGGCGCCCAACGACTGAGCCACCCAGGCGCCCCGACAGTTCTCTTTATAACTAAGCTCTGTCCTTTTGCGAACACTAGCTGCCATTTTCTAACAGAGTAGGCAATTTTAACACTCTAGATCTTGTAAAAAAGATGATGATTTTATAATGGGGAAACCTGTAATTAAGGCTTAGCTCTTAGAGAGAGGATAGAAGGGGTGAAGATCCATATCTGAGGCCTGGGAAATCAGGCTGAGAGGTGGGATCGATCATCTGGGAAAATTCCACATGCAGTAGGAAATGCCACAAAACAAAGGAGAGCAGAAGCTGCTTCAGTCCTGGCCAAGAACACAGTGAGTTTAGAGTTGTCCTGAAGATAGTCCTTACCCTCTAACTGCCATGCTGGAAGGGCTGGTCCATTTCATTTTAATAAATGCTCTGGCAAGACCACAGCATTGATGCAGTGTTGAGGAATTCAAATATGTAAGGGATATAAAGTGCTTATGCTACATTCTTAGGATGCTGTTGGGTGTGAGGAATGCTGGCTAGATATCTCTGCTCTGCCTTCTCCTCAACGCCAACCCCCTTGACCTGGGAAACTCTTGGACTTTGTGGAATTAACTCTTAGCTCATGTCGGTTGGCCTCCTCATAGGTCATGAGGACTGCTTCCATCATTTGCTACTCTGAGGTTGAAATCAAGACATAAAAGAAAAATCTCCCACATACTTTTATCTGTCCTCGAGACCTAGGGCACACACTCCTGCTAACGACATTCTGTAGTACTTTAAAGCAAGTGGGCTACTTAGAGGGATCTCATTGCACTGAACCGATGGAGAAATAATGCATGCAGATAAAAAGCCACTTCTTCTGCCATGTCAGAACTCAGTCATAAAAAATTAGTATGGTGTTTCTGTAATAGTAGGAGTTATGGACGGAGGTTGAGAGGATGTTGGTAACAGGAAAAGTGTCCGTAGGAAACCCGTCCCCCAAGTTCTACTGATGCTGATACAGAGGTAGATGGCTGAGGCGTAGCCCATTCAAAGGCCTAATTCAGCTAATACACTGTCAGCCAACATGGGTTCTGATCACCTTGAACGAGCAGGGTTATTCTGGGAAATATCTGTTCCTTGTTTTCTGGCTTTAATGGATGTGTATCATAAGTACAGATTCAAGTTGGCACTTCCCAAAATTGCTGTAGATTAGAATTCTAACTGATAGAAATGCTTATGCTCTGATTAGTTTCACGTATTTAATAGAAGAGTCCTAGAATCAAGCTTCAGATCCCTAGTGGATCAGTGAAAATTCATATAAATGATCTAATAAACAGAATAACTTCCACTGAATTCCAGTCACTTTCTTCTCCCTACCTTTGCCTCTCCTCAGGCTTTGGCATGCCTTCAGTGGTCATTACTGTGGATATTTTGGGCAGCAAAGAATGTTTGAAATATCACAAACAAGTGATTTCATTTTGCCATGTGATGTTAATGAATATCCTGTAGAAATAAAAGAAGAAAACAAGTTCACAGAGAAGAAGCAAAAATATGAATATCCTCTGGTATTTGACCAGCAAAAGTAAGACCATTGGTTTTGGTTTTGGTTTTGGTTTTGTTTTGTCTTTAGATGAACAGACAAGAATTAAACTCTTATGATACTGTGACACTCTGCTGGATGTGGAGAATTCAAAGATGAAAAGTCCAGGCCTTTTCAATAATGTCATAGTCCAGTAGAGGGGAGAAATATGTAAACAAAAAGCCTCAGTATAATAGTACTTTTAAGATAATCACAGAGGAGTAAATGGAATGTAACCAAACAAAGAAGACCAAAGAGGCAATTTTGGTCTTCTTTGCTTAGTTGAATCCTATTTAAGTAAAAGCACTAAATAATGAAACACTATGATACATCATCAGGTTTTTCAAGACTTGGGAGTCCAGTGAGCAAGCAAGGAAGACATGGCAGGAAATAGAGCAAGAAAAGTTTATAGAGGCCAAATCACAATGGGCTTCTGTTATAGGCCAACATAAGGATTTTAAACGTTAGAGAAATCATAGTGACAGAATACACAAGAGAAAAAACAGGTCTGAAGAAAAGGATAGTGAGTTTGGTTTGGACAGGTTTAAGTTTAGATGCTTGTGGGACATCCAAATGGAGATATTTAATGAGCATTGAGATAGGCCCATCTGGATGTTGAAAAGAAAGCCACAAGCAAGTATTTGAGAAATAAATAGGAAACATGAGGTGACAATGGGATAGGTTACTTTGTAAGGAAGTCAAATAGCTCTAATGTTGAATAAGAGTTTGATTCATGGGTTTGCTTGTGTCTCAGGGACATTTGAGCATTGCTTAAAGGTTTAGAGGAGGAGGACGGTTCCCCAGGAGGGCATAGAGTGTTGGCAGAAGGTGTTTTGTGCTTTTGTAATGTTCAGTTCTGGTTTTGATGTGGTTGGATCTTTGTCATAACGGAAGAGATCAGTACTCATTTGAGCTCAACATCAGCAAAGCATGGTGGATAACCTCAGGGGACCAGTCTTACCTGGACTAGCAAAATGGAGCAGACCAGCCCTGGGGAACTGAGTAGATGAGTCCAAAGTGGGAAGAATCAGAGGGGATTGTCTAAAATAAAGTCCTTTAAGGAAATCCCAAGTGAGTCAAAGCTGGAGAGACTCAGTGCCATCATCTAGACCAACAGCTGGTAGAATAAATAGGAACTGAAACTAAGAGTCATAAGCCACACAGAATTTGGATTAAAACAGGAGCAATTTGAGAAAAATCAACAAGGGTTCCAGGGGACTGCCAAAACCCCAACTGAAGTGCTCAAGTTTAGCCAGCAAGAGCACTGGAGAAAAAGTCATGCCAAAATGTGAGCGGTGGAATAGCAGAGCCAAGATGTGGTAAAGTTCACCAAGCAAAGCTGGTCAGTCTCCCTGGGTAATTGCTGAGCCTTGACCATCCATCTATCTTAGTACTCAAAAAAGTATATTCTAATTTGGTAATATGCATCTCCTTCACTAACTCTGTGAGTTCCTTGAGGATGAAGACCATGTTTTGTACCTCTATATATACCCAGTTCTTAGCTTAATGCTTTGCACACAGTTGGCACTCAAAAGATAGATTCAAGTGAGCAAATAGAGAATGACTTAAATGCAGAGGTAGCATCATTAGGACTGGTGCCACGGGAGCCAGAGAATCGGGGACCCAGAGAAAGCAGGATGTAATGGATACTAGTTTAGTAAGCAGAGAGAATAAAAGATGTGGGTATGTGCTGAACAGTTTTCCTTGTATCTTTTTATGCAGATGGAAAAAAATGAGCTCAATGTCTTTGCTTTTCAAACGTACACCTCCCAAGGCTTTTGAAGTGGATCATGACTTTAAGTTTTTCAAGTCTCTTTCTTCTCCCAAGGTAGCCTTAAAACAAATGAACGAAAAACAAACAAATAAAAGAAAGCACTTTGCTCTTGTTTTCCCGAATTTGGATCTCTCCAGGATTAGTTTTCTACTGCTGCTGTTACAAATTACTACATACTTGGTGGCTTAAACAATACGAATTAATTATCTTACAGTTCTGTATGTCAAAAGTCTGACCTGGGTCTTGCTGGGCTAAAATTAAGGTGTTGCCAGAGCTCTGTTCCTTTTCTGGAGGCTCTAAGGGGAGAATCTCAATGCTTTAGTTTGTGGGCCCTCTTCCTTCATCTTCAAAGCCAGAAATGTGACTTCTCCCTGACAGTTTTCCTGGGGTCACAGGTCTCCGACCCAGTGGGAAATGTTCTCTGCTTTTAAGGATGCCTGTGATTAGATTGGGCCCACCTGGATAATCCATCTCAAGGTTCCTGACCTTAATCATATCTGCAAAGTCACTTTTGTCAAGTGAGGCAGTGTAGTCCCAGGCTGGGGGAGGGAGAATTAGGGTGTGGACATCTTTGGTTGCCATGATTCTGTCTATCACACACTGACACACATCAATGCAGAATTAGGAGAGAAATGGGTCCTGCTATTCATTCTATTTCTAGTATTCCTAAAGAGTGGATATAGCATGAATTGATTTCTTCAAGATCTTCCACACAGTAAACCAAACTTAACCTTCCTAATGTATCTCCCATTATTAACCCACTGTTGCCCCACCCTCTACAAATCAGGCTCGTTGTTGTTTCCTGAGCATTCCTGTCTTCTGCCCCGACAGTTTGTGTGAGCTGTCCTTGCCACATCAATGCTTTTCTCTGTCTCTCGAGCCCATCCTACCTTTGTAATTGACAAAGGATTAGTATCTAGAATACAAAAGAACTCCTAAGAATCAATAAGAAAAAAAGACAGTCCAATTTAAAAAAATGAACAGATACTTAAATAGATACATCACAAAAGAAAAAAAAAATTGCCAGTAAACACATGATGAGATGCTCAACCTCATTAGTAAATGTGGACATTCACTTCAATAACGTTATGAGATACCATTTTACACCCAGCAGATTGGCAAATATCAGAAAGTCTGATTCTATCAAGGGTCAGTGTGCATTTGGCACAATCAGAACACTAATCTGGTAGTGTAAATTGGTAGAACCACTTTGGAAAACAATATGGCATTAACCAGTAAAGTTGAAAATAGGTATAGCCTGCTAGAGATATCCCCTGGGGAAACTCTTAAACACATGCTTAGGAGACAGGAACAAAGATGCTCAGAGCAGTACTGTTTGTAATAGCAAAAACCTGAAAGCAGCCTAAATGCTCATGAACAGTATAATCAGTACATAATTATAGCATATTTATAGATTGGAACACTATGGAGTTGTGAATATAAATGGACCAAAGTAACACTCACCTGTATGGATAATAGTTTAATACATGCTACTGAATGAAAAAGTTTTGCTTAAGAATATATATATAATTATCATTTATGTAAAAGTCAAAAAGAGGCAAAACTAAATAAAATATTGCTTGAGCAAAAATCATATAAGGTGAAATTACATAAATAAAAGCAGGAAAATTAAAAGCACAAAATTCAGGACGGTCACTACATTTAAGGGCAGATGAAAAGGACTGAGAACCTCAAAGTTGATGGCATTGTTTCAGTATGTAAAACAGAGCAGTGGGTCCATTATGTCATTATTCTTTTATAGTATCAACTTCGTATTTGATAAATACTTAATATTTCCCAAATGAAACAATTTCCATAAGCCCTACCTTTCTGTCCAGATGGAACTCAGCTGCTCCCAGAGGACAGGGGGACAGACAGGTGAAGGACAGGATGTGGAGTGTGATAGACTTAGGTTTAATCTTAAATTATTTTATCTCTTTCCTCATTGGAAAGCCCCCCTAAAGTGTTGTTGTGAGGATTAAGTGAGAAAAATGTATACCAGTTACATCACAGATACTCAATAAATGTTAATTCCGCATTCCCCAACAGGCCCAGTCTCTCCTGCTTTGTGTCTTATAGCATATTCATTTACCATGTTCTCCAGTGAATCAGAGTATTAATATACTTACCTTTACTTCCCACCCACCACTAAGTCTTAAGATTTTTATGGCCAAAGTTATATGCAAGCACATAACAGATACTCAATTTTGTTGAATAGGATTGAAATAGCACAACCTAAAAATAAAGATTGGTAGATACTTTCAATATTCTCTTCCAATTTAAAGATAAGAAATAATCTTTTAAAGTAATTTAACTGAAGCATTAAATGCATTTTGGGAAAACTTTAGCAACGTTTTAAAGCTCTTGAAACAATCAAGTGCCCCAAGGATCACCTTCTCCTTTGCACAACTTGGTCTTCTCAACTGGTTGGTAAAATAACAAAATTTTAATGCTAAAGTTGAGTTAAAACCCCTTTTTCTTAGGAATCTCTGATTTTTACCAGAATCTTGTTTTGCCCATTACTTTTCTTTCTCAATTGTATAAAACGTATTCATTCACTTTTTTTTTTATCATTCACTTCTTTTTGAGGTACCGTTATCAGTAATAATAATACAATGATACTGATTCTTATATCTAAGTAGCACCATGCTATATGTGTATTTCATTTGATCCTCATAAATAGTCAATAGGGGAAGAACTTGCCCAAGATCATTCAGCTAATAAGCAGCAGAGTCAGGATTTGAACCCAGGAATTTTGCCGCTGAAGGAATGTGCCCTTTGCATTAAACATTCACTCCTGTGTTTTGCAGATTCAAAGACGGGCCTTAGAAGGATTCCTGACGGAAAACAGAGAGGCAGGGATTGTTTTTGGTTCTCTGCCTATATATAGGGTGAGTTGGAGGTTTCTAAGACTAGAGTAATTAGAAAACAACAGGGAATCTGACATCTCATTCCTGACCCTGGGCTACCAAACAAGGTTGAAGAAAATCACATCACCAAGCCAACGGCTGCTTCTATGAGCATACTGTGTCCGATCCCCAAGAAGTCTTTAGTTCTCTATGTCCACGCCCTTGATCACTTGTCTCTGCCAGTCCACATTAAACACCACAAGAAACGATTTCAGACTCTATCCTGGCTCTTCACCACCTACAGGACAAAATTCAAACACTTTGAGCCTGGCGTACAAACCTTTCATAATCTGGCCTCTGCCTGGACTGTCTGATCTCATTTTCTACCACTTTCCCCCATGTACCTTACACTCCAGCTATGCCAAATTCCTTGCCATTCCTTAAGCATCTTTGCTTTTCCCTCTTCTGTGACTTTGCCCGTGCTGTCTCCCTGTCCAGAAGTTCTTCCTTAGTACTCAGTACTCACCCTTCCAGTCTCCACTCCAGATAATCTGTTAAAGAACTAATTAAACCAGGAATAATAAACTGAAGATGAAATATTTCAACTTTATCTTATTATTTTTTAAAATGTTCTCTCTCCTTCCCAAGAACACGTTCATGATAACAGCAGCAAACACTTAACCTACAGATGATGCTAAGGGCGAAGTGTCAAGAAGGAATAGTGGGCATTTGGGAAGGGGGGCATATTTTAAAGCAGTTGGACCTTTTCGTTCCCTATTCTCCACCCTTGAATTCACACTACAGAAGTAATTGCCTGAAGTATGTCTTGCTAACTCTTTACTTATGGCTTCTAGGTACAGAGCCCCACCAGCCTAAGATTCCTTCCACTCATTGGCTCAGACGCACAAAGGGAGTCTGCAGATGGCATTTCAGGAAAAAAGAAGGGGATTCATGTTCAACATGAAAAAGTCAGTACTCAGAATTCCAGAGTGGATCTCCTTTCTGTCTGGGGATTGTTAACAATTGCTTTGTTCCCAGAGACATGCTGGGCCTAAAATTATCTCAGTTCATACTCTTGTCATGAATATTCCCAGATGCATGCATTTTAGCTCAGTGAGATGGAAATCAGGAATTTGTTGAATGGAGACAAAAATCAAATAGGACCTTTGAACCTGGCAGATGAAACTTTTCCAGAGCTAATTTAAGACTTAAATTCACTGCCTAGTTTTAAAAGGCAATGTGACATACCATCTCTGAGGGCTGTGTAACCATCCTTGTACCTGCAGGGTAGAACCATATCATTAAGTTTCTGGCTCACCAGCTAAGTCAAGTGTTTTTATGTGTTAAGAAGAGTAGCTAATATACAATGTTTTAGAGTTTATGTAGCATTTTTATAAGTGGTTCCCTTTATTTTCACAATGATTACAAAGAAAAAATTGGGAAAAAGTGGAGCCTAACCAGAGGGTAAATGACTTGCCAAAGATCCATAAGAATTAAATGATAAGCTGAGATCCACTCTGATTCTAAATTTCATGCTCATCCCTTTAAACCATACAGCCTAGAAAATTCAAATGCTCTTACTCTTCTGCTGGCTCTAGGAAGCTGGTAAGGGCCCAACTTAACCTGCAGCCATTCATCCCATTGTTAAAATAGATCAAACTTTAAGGGGAAGATCTAACATAGGGTACTTTTTGTAAGCCTCCACCCCATGAAATCAGACTAAAAACAGAAAAGAGCTGGTTCTTATTGCCTGTGCCTAATGCAACAACAGATAACAATCACAGCCACCACCACAAAAAGCTGCTTTATTTAATTATGGAGAAAACTTGAGCATCGTTCTGTCCTCGGGCACATAATAAGAATATGAATACTTCCTGTTAATCCTCAACTCTACTAAGAATTGTTGGCAAAAGAAGGGTTTTCTATAAAATAATGTAATTTATTTTTAATTGTTTTAAGTAATCGATGAGACACAGTGGTATCAATAATCCAAAACTGCATGCCTGGGTGGCTCAGTCAGTTAAGCGTCTGCCTTCAGCTCGGGTCATGATCCTGGGGTCCTGGGATCGAGTCCCGCGTTGGGCTCCTTGCTCAGCAGAGAGGCTGCTTCTCCTGCTTCTCATTTGCTCTCTCAAGCTCTCGCTGTCTCTCAAATAAATAAATAAAATCTTTTTAAAAAATTTTTAAAAAGACACATGTGGCTATCTTCTTTCTGTCACTTAGTTTGTACTTAGAAAATGTAAAGTATATTTAATATCAGATGAGGCAAAACAAATAAGAATGCAAATACAGGCAAAAAAATTATATGAACTCTAAAACCCAGAACAGTCTTTTGACTATCTGTTAGTTTTGGATTATTTATTTACTAAAGATTTTATTTATTTATCAGCACTCCAATAGCCACATATGTCTTAAATGCAAGAGGGAAGACAAAAATGGAACTAAAAACTAGTCATGGTTAATGTACATAATGAAGACCCTACACCTAGATAATCAGAAATTGATTGCACTATGATTAGTTTTATCAAAGATCATGAAATATAATAAATTATTTGTCCAAACACAAAGGAATTTTTTATATATCTGTTGTTTTAATAGATGCTCTATTTTCTTTATCACTCTGAGAGATCATTAACCATACAAAAAGGGCAAAGGAAGTAGATATCTCCATTTGCCTACAGAAAAGGGACCACAAAACCATAATTAAAAATTTTCCTTCTGGTTTAATGAAGAAAAGAGTTAAGTGTAGTGAGGGATTAAAGTCTGTTTCCAAAATAAAATTAGGTCATTTTCAGGAAACTGTGCACTTTGCAAGATAACAATAAATTCTGGAAACTGGCATAGATTAAAGAATCACTATGTTGATTGTCTGCAATTTTAGGAACCCATACAGCCTAAGTGGGAAAATAGTGGATGAAGTCAAATCAATAAATACCCATTAAATGCCTATTTTCATAAAAAGCACTTCCAGGAACCTGGGCATAAATTTACCTCAGAAAATTTAGTGTTCAAATTCCAATTTTGTGAAACAAGCATGTACAGAATACCTTGAAATACCTACTATGTGCCCTGCACTGTGCTAGGCACTAAGAAGCCATTTTCATAGACCAAGGAGCTCACACTATAGAGGAGAGAAAGTTCTCTGAACAAATAGTCCAAAAATGGATATCTTAATCTCTTTGACATTATTTTTAAATAATAGAAATGCTGATTCCAACTCTCAATGTCTTTAAGTGGTTTGTAAATCCCTTTAGAATTAAACAAGTTACAGAATATTAACCATAGTACAGGAAAACATACATCAGGGCATAAGTTTATACAGTTGACCCTTGGACAACACAGGTTTAAGCTGCGAGGATCCACTTACATGCAGATTTTTTCAATAAATACAGTACAGTACTTAAGTGTATTTTCTCTTCCTGATGATTTTCTTAATAACATTTTCTTTTCTCTAGCTTACTTTATTGTAAGAATATGGCATATGTACTAATCAACTCTGTATGTTATCAGTAAGGCTTCCAGTCAACAGTAGGCTGTTAGTAGTGAAGTATGGGGGAGTCAAAAGTTATATATGGATTTCCTACTGTATGGGGGATTGATCAAGGGTCAACTGTAGTTCTTTTTCTGTTTAAATGTGGGAAGAGAGTGGGAGAATATGAACTCTGTGACATGTTCCATTTACAAAACTGTGGAAGCATATCCGATAACAGAAAAACGGTTAAGTGAAAGATGGTATACAAGATAGCAGACTCTAGCTTTTCAAAGAATAACAGAAAAACCCTCACAGTTTTATTTCAGGTGAAAGGGGATATAAACTATAACTCAGTGATATTGCTAGTGAAAATGGCTAACATTTGTTTTTAAATTAGTGTACAGGGTACAAAACCGAACGTTCCATATGTACTCTTTCAATCAATCTTCGTAACATGGAGGTAGTTAAGATTATCATCCCCATCTTATATTCAAGAACACTGAAGCACAGAGGAAAAGTAATTTAAGATCCCCCAAAGAAGTAAGTTAACAGAGCTGGGATCTAAACCCAGCAGGTTGACTTCAGAGCCGGGACACGTAAATACAATGCAATGTAATTCAGAAGTAAGTAAGCTGCTGGGCCTCCCCTGGTCACAGTAACTGGATGAGAGTCTGCAAATAATGAAAACTGAAGGACTCTCCCTTCCCACCACTCTCTGTTCCCTCGCCCTACTTCATTTTTCTTCATAGCTCCTGTCACTACCTGACATTACATTCTAGAAAAGCTCATTTATTTGCAATGATTCTTTCCCACTAGAATGTAAGATCCACAAAGGCAGGTACTTTGACTTATTCTCTGCTGGAATTCCAGCGTTTAGAACAGACTGACACATAGGTCACACACACACACACACACACACACACACACACACTTGCTGAATGGAAGAATGAATGAGACCAAAGAAGGGAGGAGGGTGCAGGAGGAAGTGGGGGAGAATGAGGATAGAAAATTAAAGAAAGAAACATGAGTTCAGCTTGGGAAATTGCATCAGTTGGTTGGTGGATGGATGTGGGGAGCTGAGTTTCCCCCCTTGTGTCTCAGAGGGAAAGAGTGGTCAGGTTACCTGTAAGTGTTCAAGCCTAAGAGACCTTTAGGTGGTTGAATTTGGAACTTGGGGCTCATTCTGTCTTTTTCTTTACCTTGAACTCTCTGTGTTTCCTTTTTTCATCTTTCTTTCTTCTTCCCCATAATAGGCCATAAATTCAAATCGATATGTACTGTAAATATTAGCTGAATATTATGGACAAAATTTCTGAATTTTTAAACTAAAGAGTTTAACTTTTTATATGTATGTGTTTCAAAAATAACCAATTCAAAACTCATTTTCATTTCTTATTTGTAGGATCAATCACTTGATTTTATTTTCCTGTAAGTCAATGGATTCTGATGCTATTAACATACAATATCTCTATGCCTTACAATGACCTAGCAAACTTCTCTAATTTGCTTTGTTTTAACCAAACCTTTAATAGACTGGGCAGTTGAGTCCCAGCATGGATAACTGCCCAGTCTAGTAGTTAGTCTAAAGCTTGTGCTCTTCCATCACACCCTTCTGGAATGCCACATTTTTATCCTGGAGGCACACAGGATAGTTAAGTAAATAATGATACGTTCTTACTAGGAAGATTAAAATCTCTACAAAAATAGTGGTGCAACGTGACTCTGAAAAATTGCATTATCATATAATGCCAGTTACTAACTGACGTTCCCTTTTTTTTTTCACAGATGTCACGAAGGAGAAGTCTGAAAAGACATTTAGTCCCACAAATAAATCTGGCTTCTTCCTTCTTCCCATTCATCTCCAAGTGAAGAGAGGAAAATTAGAAGTGGCTGCTGTGGCCTGAGTTGCACATAAAATGGCAAGATCTGAATGACACTCCAGTCTTAATTTCAGGATGAAAGTGAGGGTCCACCAGACACTGTCACCCACATCTGTATCCTCGGGCCATCCTATCGATGGAGAAGATCGCTCAGCTCTGAACAAGCAAGCAGCAAGCAGCCAGATGTCTAATTTCTTTCATACATGGAAATCCATTTAACAACTAGGTAATGTTTCTTGTTTACTGTCAGCAAAATGACACATAGGGAAACAAAGAAAATCAATAGCATTAGTAGATCTAAAATAATATGGTTATCAATGATCAGCTTTTCGCCTCCCCCTGCCACCCTTGTTCACCCCAATTCATAACCAGAATTATTATCCAAATATATGCAGTAAGAGGCAAATTACTATGCTATGTGTTATACAAAGAAAATTATTAAAAAGAAAAATGTGCCGAGCAAGCCTCTGCCTCTTTGTCTTCTTCATTTAGGGAAATGTCATATGGAAGAAAATGTTCAGAGTTTCTTAGATTAAGTTAGAAGTTATTTACATTTCATCTAGAAATGACTTCAGATAAAAAGAATTTGAATGGTTATATGAACTTTCTGGTGTTCATCTTTTGTTTTTAAATTTTTTTTATTAACATAAAATGTATTATTTGTTTCAGAGGTACAGGTCTGTGATTCATCAGTCTCACACAATGCACAGTGCTCACCATAGCACATACCCTCCCCAATGTCCATCACCCAGTCACCCCATCCCTCCAGCCCCCCACCACTCCAGCAACCCTCCATTTGTTTCCTGAGATTAAGAGTCTCTTATGGTTTGTCTCCCTCTCTGGTTTCATCTTGTTTCATTTTTCCCTCCCTTCCCCTATGATCCTCTGTCTTGTTTCTCAAATTCCTCATATCAGTGAGATCATATGATACTTGTCTTTCTCTGATTG